TGTTGGGACTCGCAGCATCACAACCAATCACAGAAACACTTTCATAAAAGGCACTACATTTGTAAAAACCTCCTTACCAAAATGAAACACGCAAAGGGAAAGGTCCTCCGCACGTGACACTCTCTCCCATACCAGGCCGTGCTGCCTCCTTCTGCCGACTACCGTCGGCGGCCGTTCCCACGCTCGGGCCCCGTAAGTTCTTTCATTAACTGTTGCTTTCTAGAAGCGTCCTTAAGAGCAATGGGTACACCATTGCTTACCAGGTGTACATGCGACAGCGAGGCACCCCGACATCCTAACAAGAGCGCGGGGGAATATGGTCGTTTACCGGCCGCCACTAAGTCTCGGTCAGGCTAAGTGGTCGCGTCCCCATGTCATTCTCAATGACACGCGTGCCTGTTAACAATGGCTTAGACTCCGACGGTGGCGCCGGACCTGCCTCTCGCTAGACACTTTTCCTAGTAAGCTTTCCCAGGCTGGAAAACACGATTTATCCCACATTCCATTAAAGTCGAAAGCCGAAGCTCTGTAATGGCCAGAGAAACAAACCCAAAGGTAGAAGAATACAAAGAAAGACTTAAAAAAGAAGCAGGAGTTGGTTTTGCACAAATTTCCTGAGAAGATACTGGAGCTGGAAACCTTGCTCTCGCGACAATATTACGCTTGTGAGCCTCCGATAACTGTATAGCGCCAAGTGTGAAGATATCGTGAACTCGTTCGCGGCTTAAATTTTGTCAACAGGGCCTCATCAAGGTTTAGGCACATGGAACGGTTTTATGATCTCCCATGGCAGAGTACCCAGTACTCTGAATCGTTAAGCACTCAGAAACAGAGAAAATAGAGAGTGCGCATAAAGCGCCGCTTACAATTTTTCTAAACCGTATGGGAACAGCTGCTCTCCCTTAGTAGAGCACAGCGTACTGAATATCGTCCACCATTTATTGTAAACACACGTCAACCACTCTAAATCGTTAAACACTATTCATAAACACAGGTCATAGGTTCACTTTCCTCCCATAGTTTAGTACAAAGTACTCAGAATTGTCAAACACTTTTATGGGCGAAGCTCCTTGGGCCATGCCGGGTCGGGCGTCCCCGATGTATGTAGTAGTAGTAGTAGTAGTAGTAGTAGTAGTAGTAGTAGTAGTAGTAGTAGTAGTAGTAGTAGTAGTAGTAGGTAGCCACCTCTTGTTTAGTCTTTGGAATGTCAGCTGAGCTGGATGGTGGTAGTTGTATGTGATGAAAAGATGCGAGATGGCGGTACTTAAGAGTTTTCAATAGATGGACGGACGGATGGACGGATGCACGCACGGACGCACAGACAGACGAATGGGAAGACAGACAGGCAGGCAGGCAGGCAGGCAGGCAGGCAGGCAGGCAGACGTGGATGGACGGATGGTCGCACAGATGTACGGACGGTCGCATGAATGGACGCACGGATAGACGGAATCAAGAACAAACGAACAGATGGACAGACGGACGGACTGATGGACGCTTCGCCCCACTGATCATCATTGAATCTGTGGACATGCTGGAATTTTTTTATAAACACACATGTAATGATCGTAGCAGGGAAAGCTTATTCCTCTCCCGCAGTATACAGTATACCGCGTACTCTATATTGTCTAACATTTTTTCTTAAACGCACCCTCCCTTGAATTTGCACGTTGTATTACAGCAGTGTTTAGACTAGAGTTCCCATAGAAGAGCACATAATGATCTGACTTTTGAACAATTTCCTCTATACACACAGATGATTTCTCGAGTTACAAGCACGTGACATACTTCACTACTTTACTGAATGTACAAACATATATTTACGAGATAAAAGGAGAAGAACAAGAATGAACATGGCCTTTTTTTTTTCAAAGAGGCATTGCGTGTTTTTTTTTTTTTTCGACATCCTTTGTTAGGGAGAGCCTGCAGTAGTCCTGAATCGTCCTTGCAGTCTTCAAGCGAAGCTTCTATGGCGGGGTCTCAGCGTTGCCCTCCCCTTTACTCTAGCAGCCCGCAACTCGGATGAGAATATTCATGTCATATTTGCTATAAGACTTTGATCGCGACATTGCTAAATAGGTGCTCGCAATATAATTTTCGCCTGTCGTGATTGATAGCGCCTTGTTCAAATGAGCTACACAGACATGAATATTATTGACAATTTTTTTTCGCGAGGCATTCACCGTGTGTCGAAACACAACCGCGCAAAAACACTGCATAGTTAAGAATATGCATCTATATCTTAGTCATTGTAGAGATAAGAATCGATGTTCATATAAACTTGACGCCATGTCTCCATTAAAAACGACCGATATAGTAGACAGAGAGAATGCCATCTTTCAAATAGCAAAATTTCTTCTATACCCCCCCCCCCCCCCCACAACACACTCAACTTTTTCAGTAAACCTGCCCTTCGTGGAACGAAGATTTTACACGGTGGCCCGGTAGTTGATCTGAGTTTTAGAGGCAATAATTACACTAAATAGTAATAGTCCTTTGTGAATCAGTGTGAGGCCCACGGGACGGCCTAGTGCTCTCCCATAGTAGAGTACCAAGCACTCTAAATCGTTCACCACTTTTTTCTAAACAGACTTCAGTTCATTGGGTTACATATGTAGGTGGTGGCGGTGATGAATTCGCGAAAACCCCAACCTGACGAATGGGCACGAATGCGGCTCTCGTGCTGTCTTATCGTGCGTCTTACTTTTCCCCCATATATATCGTAATTACTAAAAACAACATCGCCCTTACTTTCTTTGCTATACCGCCGGTTCTCATTAAAATTTTATATCTAACAAAGTAAAAGGGGCCCCTGAAGGTACACTTCTTTCTTTCGTTCATAGTGACGATCTTTTTCTGGCAGACTAGGGAGGAGGAGGACAAGAACAAGAGAGAAGGCAGTGAGGTTAACCAGGCACATGCCCGGTTTGCTACCCTACGCTGGGGGAATGGGAAGGGGGAGATGAGAGAGGGACATAAGAAAAAGAAGAGAAAGAGATGAAAAAAATTGGCCCATATCTGCCTGTTACACTGCAAATGTCGTCGAAATACAATAGTCTAGCTTGTAGCGAGAGTGAACAAAACGTGATATGATGTTTCGCGGAATAAAGTCGGTGAATGGTATTCTGGAGGTGATGCGTTAAAGTGCCTTGAGCGTGCAGCGGAGGCGAACGAGCGCATCAAGTCACGTCACACGTGAGACATGAGCGCTTTTTAGCGGTTATCTTGGAAAACGAAGCGCGTGGCGTGTGCGCCTGTCTCGGAGGTGATAAGGTGTAGAACGCAAGGTGACGGGTAGGCGCCACCACCTCTCGTCTTAGCAAAGCGCTGGAAACACCTGCTTTTTTGTGCAAGCGTTGCATGGTCAGCGCAACGTGATAAACGCTATACGTTCCTTAAAATTACTTTTCTAGTAAAATATACACATACAGAATGTTGATGTGTTGTTATGGTGCCTCAGATATGCGCAATTATTGCTTTTTAATTGACAATCGCACAAGTATGAGCGCTGAATCTTGAGCAATACTGGTGGGTCCTGAAAATGCGGTCAGCCGTTTGGAACATCGTTTGGTGCCTTTTAAAGTACCGTTAAAGGCGGCGAAACAGACAAATGTACAGACAGACAGACAGACAGACAGACAGACAGACAGACAGACAGACAGACAGACAGACAGACAGACAGACAGACAGACAGACAGACCAAAATTTTTGCGTTGAAGGTCCCCAAGAAAAGCTATCGTCATTAAAAGAAAGGATTGTCAGTCAATGGGCTGACGCGTATGCAGCGGAGGCACTACACAAAAGTTAAAGGTGTTCACGTAGACCTGTAGTCCCCAGGAAGCACAAGACGGTTTTGACTGGCTTTTGAGCCGACGAAAGACGAGGGCAGTGTTCCAGTAGCATCTGCATAGAGAGTGGCCGATCGTCCAATTGGCGCGATGCGTCGGAAAGCTTCTGTCTTTCAGAGGCAAATTGAGGGCAACGGCGTAGCAGATGGTCGATGTCATCTTCGGTGCCGCAGACGTCGCATTCCGCACTGTTGGTCAAACCAGTGAGAGTTGTATATGCTTCTGGCAGACAAGATGCCACCATGTAGTATGCGAGGAATCATTGATGAGCTGCTGTTGTATTTTCGACGCAGTGGCTGTCGTATTTTCGATAAAAGCGAAAATGCTTGAGGTCAGTATATTTTGCGATGTTGGTCCACGTTAAAAAAACACCAGATGGTATAAAATACCGGAGTCCTCCACTACGGCGTCTCTCACAATCGTATGGTGCTTTTGGGACGTTAAATCCTAACAATTATTATTATTATATTATTATTACTATTATTATTAATTATATGCACTGACAATGGGGCAATGTGAATGAAAAAGCGGGTGTTTCCCACGCTTCGCTAAGAAGACACTGGTATATGCTTCTGTTTCCCGAGATTGCTACCAGATGGCGTCTCACGCAGCGCCTACAAACAGATGACTATCGTCTTTCGGCGACATTTGCAGCGAAGCATGCTCATACGTGGTCAATTGTTTTATTTTAGCATATTTCGCCGATTGCATAGATTGAACTCATTGGACCTGTTTCACCTGACGGTCATTTCAGGCCCTTAAAGGGCCACCTTACATTATGATTGGTCATTATCTACAAGTGTTCTGTCCATGATTGGCCCTCGCGCCATTAACCATTCTGGTCATCACTTGCGCAATTAACCATTTCACATCATTACCATCAGGGTCTGTCGGCCGCAATTAGCACATGCCTGTGAGTGCAGTATACTAACAGTTGTCTTGTTATCAATACCTTTATGTAGTGCATTGCTCAAACGTTCAAGACTCTACGTCACGTTGGCCTGGCGGATCACGTGATATACCAAAGTGGAGAACCAGCTCCTAAGTGTGGATAGGAGTCTAGTTCTTTGTTTCTGACGGATATATTGTTGTGAGCGCGTACCTATGTATATTGATGAACGTGCTCACCCCTTTTTCTTCTGCTTCCTGATGCAGACCATCCTGAACTCGATGCACAAGTACCAGCCACGTTTCCACCTCGTTCGGGCCAATGACATCCTCAAGTTGCCATACAGCACGTTCAGGACGTTCGCGTTCAAGGAGACGGGATTCATCGCAGTCACGGCATACCAAAACGAAAAGGTGAGTGAACAGCTCAGTACGTGTATAAAGTCGAGCCGCCTTATGACGAAACCTAACAGGAACCACGATTTAGTTCGCTATATCCGCTACTCGATGTAACAGTAAATATGAGATTGGTTCTAACAAATTGACATAATGGCTCGCGCGAACAACCTAAATTAGAAGTGCATTATTCTAGCACTCACCCTCTTATAAAAAGGTAAATCTTTTTTTATTGTGGTGTTCCAAACTGAATAGTCTGGATCATCATGAAGTGAAACTGTAAAACAACGAGGTTTAACAAAACAGGCTTGTGTTGATATTTACAACGACAATGCGGTTGTGAATTTTTATGAAAAAGATGTGCTTTTGAATTGTCTTTCAATTAATATTTATTGCTTTTACGCCAACCTTCGAATTTTGGGCATGGCGCGAAAAAAAAAAAAAAAGAACGAAACCCTTCGTCAAAGCAGGTGCGGCATCGGCTTTCGCGTTCATGGTTTCGTTACATGGGGGACAATTGGTTCTGAAATAAACCGTGACCAACCGACATTCGTAGTTAGCTCACTATAGCCAACGATTCGCTGTAGGAGTGTTCGTTATATAGCGAAGTTAAATTGTCGTATAAACGGATGAGTGTCAAGAAAGGATCACAGTGGCGTCAAGTATTGCATGAGGATACCGGAAAACGACTGCGACGATCCACGCGGTGCCATCAGGTGGTGCTATCTCGAGGAGGTGGCGCGAAGCGCCACAGCGAACGATATGACAACGCTGGTATAGTGATAACGGCGAGATACGCAGGAGATACTGGCGGAATGCAGCTTTTCATTCATGGAAGTGGAATTGATCGCGATGTGCTCGCACTGCTACAGCAGAGCTCGATCTACACATGCGGCACACGTGTTAGATGAAGAGATAAAGAGAGCTGAAAAATCTTAATGATATGGTAACACAGGATGGACACATGTATCAGGCACACAGATGTAAGCGTGATATTGTATAAATGCCGTGCACATGAGCGTGAGAAACGAGCCGCGCTCGAGTTACAAGTACGCGATACGAATGTGTACACGAGCAACTCCGTAAAATATATAAATGAATACTTACAAGATAGGTACATAGATAAATGAGATGAAACGAGCCAGAATGAAAACGTTAATATTTATTCCATGTCATTTCGTAAGTTAAATCTTTCAAAAAAATAAGAAAGAGAAACTACTGCTCGCGAGACCACACGAACGACTTCATTTTGTTCAATGAAAAACAAAAAAAAAACAGAAAAAAATGAAAGAAAATTGCAACAAGCGATAATAGACGAGTTTCTGAACGTTTGCCCCGAGGATATGCACCGTCCGTGTATGCAAGCAGGCAGACAGGCACGAAAACACTCCTGCACCGATCGTGCGGATAGTCACGGAAAGATAAATTGGCTGGTACCGAAAACTTCGTACCTCGGTGATCGAAAATACGGCAATTAACGTTTTACCACTGATGTCCTGCTTCGGGGAATTCACCCGAAGAAAGAAAGAAAGAAAGAAAGAAAGAAAGAAAGAAAGAAAGAAAGAAAGAAAGAAAGAAAGAAAGAAAGAAAGAAAGAAAGAAAGAAAGGAGAATCACGGGATAAAGCTCGCCAAGTCACCTATGGTATATCTATCTATATAGGCAAAAAACCAGGGAACTCGTGCTAGCGGGACGCGGCGGCACGCTGCAGAGCACGAACAATGCGCTTTTCGCACGCCGTTAATCCCGCCTGGGACAAGCGAAGCGTGCTTGCCCTGAGGGTATACGAGCAGTCGCGACTTATCTTATAACTAAGTGGTGCTTCGAGACGGGCGACACACTTCATCATGCGTGGCTTCCCTGCGCTTATCGCGGTCTTTAGTCGCTGCTGCATCCTGATTGCGCCTGGCGACGAAGACGACCAGGCCTCTTGCACGCTCCGGCACGAAGTACATGGATGCGTGACGAAGTGCAGACGTGCTCCTTTCCGAAATTGAACATGACCGCGAAGTGGCATACACTGCGTGTTTGCCTATATAATGCATTACGTAACGGGCGTTATTATTAGATCTGTACTCTATTTTATTTTTTTGAGACGAGGGCGATAAGGAGCTAAAGAACATGTACATTGAGATTCTACTTATTTTATTTTATTCTTTTTATTCATTCGAAATATATTTACTACTTCCTGGCAGTGGGTGGAATTCGGAGGCTTAAGCATTGAAGAAAGGCTGATATTTTGTATATACAAAGCATCTTTTTTTTTTTGTTTTCATATTTCACTCTGAGTTTTTTGAGCGCTTCTGAACGTTTTCTTGTATTTTCCTATAGCTTTTTGTTACGTAAAATTGGTATTCTTATGTTGCAGCTTTACGCGTGGAGTATTCTTGATGGGTCCATTGATTGTATGATTAAATATAATGGACTTTAGCCAAACGTAAAGGTGTAGAACGTTTAAACTTCTAAAGCTTTCTTGTGGAAATTAATTTAGGTATGACATGCTTAGGGATAATTCATAAATGAAGGTTAATCACATGCATGCACCAAAGACGCTTCCCGTGACCTTTGTCACGACGAGTCGCGCATTTCTATACGTAGAAAGCGGAATTACAATCAGGGTTTCACCACCTCGCTTCTATAGCATCCACAATGCACGTGAATTTTTCAGTGAATTCAGGAAAAAATAACTGCTCGGTGTCATTAAAAAGTCGAGCTTTCGTCGTCCAGAGTGTCCTTTACCCACACTCGAAGAGTGAGCAGCGAAAGTCGTCTATATAGCGACTGTTATGCAATAATGGTGTTTATTAGGGTTCAAGGTTCAAAACCATATTAGTATTCGCAGTATCGTTCCGAAAGTTTCGGCCACCAGGGATTCTTTAACCAGCAGTCAAATTTAAGCTCACGAGTCTCAAGCACTGTCGCCTCCATCGAAAAAAGCGGCCACCACAGCCAGGAATTGATCCCGCAACCTCCATATGCATGTGGAGTATAGAGCACCGTATACTCGCTAACCCCTGCTGCGGATGTGTGAGCTGTGCGAACGATAAAAGAGAGTGATGGACAGATATACACCTAAGTATACACCTAAGCAGCGCACGGCTGCTTGGGTGTATACGTGCTTAAAGTTTTGCAATCGATGTTTATTATGCATGGAAACTATAGTGTGAGCAAAGGTTAACCTCTTTTTCTCTGAATATCCGTTGAAAAAGTATGTAAAGCTGTAAAAGCCACAATTCGCTACTCATCGGTGGTGCTTGTTTGTTGTGTTTGAAACTCAAAAAGTACCCGATAATACTTTTTCAGGATGGTCAGAGAAAGCTGCTGATTCGGTAGATAAGGCCCCAGAGAGCGCGTCAGCCAAGCGTTATAGCGATGCACGCTGCTGGACTCTACAACTTTTGTCCAGGACAGCTACAAATCGTTCCCTCGCGTTTCAACAAAATATGCCACGAATTCAAATAATCGCGCTATTAACCCAACGGCCACATTCATTGGCTGAATTGAGCATCGTGAGCTGCACATTTGTTGCGGCCGCCGGGAGATGGCTCCACATGCCTTGGCCACACTCGCAAAAGCCACGCGCTCGAAGAAAAATAAAAGACGGGAGGAGAAGCAGCTTTGGGTGACGACGCCCGCTAACGAACACACGCTTCTTCTTGTTTCTGTACATGCATGCCCCTCTCCCCTTGCATAGATCTCTGCGCGATCGCTGTCTGAAAAGGAAGAGAGAAAGCATCTGAAGCATTCGAGAAATTTCTGTAAATCCACTCCCACTTGACGGATTCCCAACGGAGTCGGTTCGCGAAGCAGTGACTACAGGGAAAAGTGTAGCCCAACTCCTCCCTTCCTCCGTTTTCAGGCGATGCGTTTTAATCTTCTGAAATTCAAAACGTGCTTTCTTTTTTTAGTTTACACTTGTGGAACTTTGTGAATTAAGCGTTTGGGGACTGCATCTCTTTCTTTTTCATACATTTTGGTCCGGAAGGGAAGAGGTTAAAAACCTTCTTGCGAAACACAGTTTGATTTCACGCAGCACCAACCAAAAAAAAAAGTGCACGTTGGAAAAAAAAAAAAACTGAAAAACACTTTGTAAGTTCTATAGTTGGTTCGGCGAAAGCCTGCAGCTGTTAGACTGGTTTGGCATGTCCCTTGTTTGTTGTTTTTAGGGGCGAAGCTTCTTATGGCGTGGCTTGTGCGTCCCTCGTAGTACGTAACCACCAGTGGCACATACCCGAAATAGGTATAACATTTGACCTCCAAGGTGGTGCCGGTGAGAGATTTCTTCTGTGCGTTGTTTAACAATAAAAAATAGTGCTCAATTGACATGCCAATGGCTGTTAATGGGGAATGAGAGACAGGAGCATTCGGCTTTTAGTCAACGCGCACGCTGCGATCCCCATTAGCAGCCATTGGCATGTACATTGAGCACTATCGGACAAGAAAGGGTTGCTACATTATACTCGCTGGGTGTAACCTCCTTAGTTTTAGAAAGGTTTAGCGAGCGTTGAGCCGCAGGGCCATGAATACAATGAACTAGTATATACCATGAATGAATTCGAGGTGGTTAAAGGGGGAAAGCAGATACGAAGTGCAAGCCGTAAGAAATTAAAAGCTGAATCCTCCTGTCTCTAATTTCACATTAGCAGCCACTGGCATGTACATTGAGCACTATCTGACAGGAAAAGGTTGCTACGTTATACTCGCTGGGCCTAACCTCCTTGGTTTTAGAAAGGTTTAGCGAGCATTGGGCCGCACTGCCATGAATACAGTGAACTAGTATATACCATGAACTCAAGGTGGTTGAAGGTGGGAAGTAGACCCGAAGCGCAAGCCGTAAGAAAGTGTGCGTGTGCCACCTCTCGTTTAGTCCTTGGAATGTCCACTGAAAGGCGGTGCTTCTATATGGGAAATATATGATAAAAAGATGCGAGATGGTGGGACTTGGAGTGTTGAATAGATCGACGAACGAACACACAGACAGATGCATGGATGGACGCATGAACGGACGCAGGGGCGAA